ATTCATTTTATTTTGGTGAAACAGACAATCAAATTATTGACCCCTGATTTATTTTAGAAAAGGTTAGCTAGATTAGGGGTAATAGGTACACAATGATTAATTTACCTTTCGAACAATTGTCAGGTTGTGGGTCTCATTAATTCGACTCCTAGTAGGTGGAGGATCAAAAGGCAAATTGAATTCCACATTTCATCAATGATTGTAGCATTTTAAAAAAAAAAATTATAATGTTTTTATAAGGTTATCCAATTTTTTTCAAGAAAGAAAATAAGACTTAGAAGGTTCAAGAACAATCAAAATGTCTTCTTGACTATCTTTTATTTTTTGAAATTTTGCTATATCCTTTGGGATTTTTACAACCATTTATTTATTTTCTTAATTTATACTATTGGTTCAGATTTGTTCAAAAACAACATAAAACATCAGGAACACTCTTCAGCTCATTTGACTCGCTTGAGTGCATATGTGCACTGCAATGAGCTGTTTCAATCAAAGAGGGGGTTCAAATACCTTTCAAAGTTGTTCAAAATATTCACCAAGTATAACTTTTTCTTATTGGCAACTTTACTTTTATCAAAATGAATTAATGGTTTCACATTAGTGTGGATTTGCTTGCATTTTAGTCATGCGTATACGTTTCAACATACAAAATTTGTTCATTTAGAAGTTCCCTTGTATGTGATCCAACTTAAAATTTTGTTGAGAACTTGAGGTATGGTTATTTTGTTAATGTTTATTCATGATCATACCTAGGCAGGTCCCACTGGAGAAGAATCAACATGGATAAATAGGAGTCATCTTGGATGTAATTTTCATGCCTTATTTGATTCATAATGTTCTAAAAAAATAAAGAATTATTTTTGCACTTATTAGTTATAAGTGACTAGGCACAACCAAGATAGGGGGTGAATAGGCTCATTTAAATTTTTCAGTTTCAAAAGAGATGAAGATAAATTGCTTTGAAAATAACACAACTTAGCAAACTCAAAAAATTGATTTTAAATTTTCTTTAAAAAATATTGAAGAGCGTTATAAGTCTTAAAAATAATTTTATGAAACAAACTTTTTTATATAGTTTAAAATAACATGCAAGATCAACGCAGCAAACCAAAATACGCAATAAGTAAAATCTAGCAAAAAGAAAAAGGAAAAACAAATTAAAATTTTTATAGTCGTTCGATCAACCTAACCTACCCACTCCTCGGTAATTTCACTAACCACTCATTCTGCTCCCAATAAAGTGGAGAAGTTTTTCTCCATCACAGAGACTAAAGAACACCCTTACACCCTTCTCTTCCCAAAAAGATATCTTCCTGCATCCAGCACGTCAGAGATGCCTTACCACTAGCCTCCAACAAGAACAAGCCCAATAGACCTTACTCTATCAACAATCAAGAAAAAAAGATGAAGTATGAAGAACAACCTTTGTTAAATCCGATCACTTGAATAACCTTTCAAGAGATCCCCCATAATCACTCCTAACTCTCTCTCTTTCCTTCTCTCCTCACACAATAGAGTAAGTCTCTTTCAAAAGCTCTCACAACTACCTTGATCTCTCCCAAGAAAGCCTAAGACATCTAAAAACTTCTATTAAAAGAACATGAAAGAGTATTTACATGAATCTATAAATCAAACCATAAAAATCCTAATATAAATCGTATGGTATGATCTGAACAACTTTGCCAACTTATGGAATCAGATTATCTTGTTCAAACGAAGTCCATCTAAATAAACACTCTGCTTGTTCGAACTATACAATGAATATCGTACAAAATGATCATCACAAGAATGGTGAATCAAAGTATTAGATCGGCCTATCTGAATGGGCAAAGCATGATTTATGTTTGTTCGAACTATGTTATTGAGATTGTTTACCTAAATACTAGTGTCAGGGTCGAGTTGATCATGCACAGTGAGTTTCGAAAGAAAAAGAGTGCAATTTTGCGCAAAACTTGCTCGACGCACGTTGATCGAAATACTAAATCATTGAAATGGCCTCCATTCGTGAAACGGATAGAGCCAGAGCATTCGGGGTAGATAAAACAGCTGAGATTGACACCCATATTAACAAGCGTTGTCGATCGACTAAAAATAAATTTCACTCGCGCAAATTAAATCAGTATTGACATGCGTGAACGACGATGATCTGACGGTGATGCCGGGGCATGAATAATTTAAAGTTTCATATCAATTAAGTATAAATAATTATTTAAAAACATAGAGAAAGAGATATGAAATTAAAAAAGAAAAAAACTTTAAATCTAAATAATTTTATTCCTAAACCACCCCTCTAATAACACTCACTCCATCATAACCTAACCTCACTAATAATCACTCTCACACACACAAGCTACACTGAATGTTTTTTCTCCTTAAACCCGCACGACAGCAGCTCCTTCCGAATTTTTCCTACCTGCACGGCTCCAATTCGCGAAACAGAGAGCTCCCGCACGGTCCTTACCCGCCAGCTTCCCTTCCCGCCTCTTCTCCCGCCGGCGCCGCCTCTCTCCGGCGAAGTTGAAACTTCCGGCCGCCCTCTAGGAGTACTCCACATTGGATTTTAGGTATTTTTTTAGTTTAGAGTTAGATTTTTCAAGTGTAAGAAAATCTAGAGTTTTTATTTTTTTTATTGTAAGAAAAACCCTTAATTTCTCATTTACGCAATTCTGTGTCCGTGAGGGTTACACCTCAGACCGCCTCGAGGCTTACGCCTCGCCTCACTGACGAAAACCGCCTCGAGGCTTAATTACGCAATTTTAAACCTTGATTTCTTCTTCCCCTTCTTCTTCTCCATTTTCTTCATACCTTGTTCCTCTAAACCAAACCCTAATTTTTTAATCTCTCACCATATCCCTCAAATTACCATACTACTTTCAAGCCTCCTCTCACCCTCATTCCCTCTTTTCCCTCTACTTAGAGAGAAAAAAAAATCTCTAAAATTGGAGGAAAAGAAATTTTCTCTCTAGCATCATCATCCTCACCACTAAAATATTCCTACATCATTCTGACAAAAACTCTAATCAAATCTTTGCTTTCCCTCTCTTTCTCTCTCTAGAAAGATAGGTTACATCCTATCTTTCTCTCTTTAGCCCCTCATTGCACAAAAAATAAAAATTAAATCAAATAAAAGATCATCATAAAAAAATTTGTGCATCGCACGTCTCGCGTGCCACCTCGCTTAGTCGTCTCCGTCGTCGAGCACTTAAAGTATAACCCTGACACTAGTTTATTTTATGCTTTATTATGAATGAAATTAGTACCCGTTATCGATTTTGTTAGCAGGGAAAATTCGTATGCATAAAAAATAAATACCTGTAACTGTTTTCCTTAGTATGTGGGAAAATCCATATGCATGAAATAAATACATGTGATCGTTTTTCTTAGTAGATGGGAAAACTCGTATGCATCAAAATAAATACTCATGAAAACTTATCTAAGAAGGCGAGAAATTCGTATGCATGAAAATAAGTATCTGTTACCCCTTTTTTAGCTAACGGAAAAATTTGTATGCATGAAAATAAATACTCGTTATCGTTTTACTTTGCAGGCTGGAATATTCATATGCATGAAAATACGTACCCATGAAATTAAGTACTTGTAACCGCTATTCTTGACAAGCAGGGAAATATGGTATGTATAAAAAACTAAGTACCTGTGACTACCTTTCATGACAGGTTGGGAAATATTGTGTTTTATAAACAAGTACTTGAAGACTTGTGATTGCCCACAGTACAGAAACTAGCCTTTATTCAATTTCTCCTTAACAGAGAGTGTAATCTTCCATTTCTTTCTATCCCATTAAAACAACCCTATTCTCTCAAGTTTCCTCTAAATAGAGAACCCATTCCTCTCAATAAGACACAAAACCCTCCGTTAGCTAAGGTTAGCTCAAATATACCCCTTAAACAAAAACTCCTAGAGTATATAAGGTACCATTAGACGAAACAAACCTATGACTGCCGATAAGAATCATTTGGCCAAATTGGGTTAACTATCACCTTTGACTAGAGAAAAGGACCAAAACTGTCCATCAACTCTTTGTGAGGAACCAAAATAGTCCCCGACTATTTGAGTGGCCAATTTGGTCCCTCAACTCTTCCAAATGGGACTATTTTGATCTTGTCATCAATTCTAAACAGAAAAATGAGATGGACAAGAGGATATTATCGGAACAAGTAAAAAAGATGCGCATGAACGAAAGAATGATGCCTACCTTCGCAATGAGAAAGCTCCCATCATCTTTGATTCTTCCAATCAAAGTCGATTAGGCTGAAGAAGCGCGCAAACGGAAGAAAGATGGCTACCTTCGCAATGAAGAAGCTCCCGTTGTTGTTGTTATTTCCAATCGCAGTCAATTTGGTCGAAGAAGCGCGCTAACAGAAGAAAGATGGCTACAATCGCAACGAGCAACCTCCCGTCCTCGTCATTACTTCTGATCGAACAGACAAACGACAAAGTGTGATTTCGGATCTGATAGGCAGGAATGTCGTCGAAGAAGGCGAAGAAGTTATTAGAAAAGTTTAAAAAAAAATTTACAAATATTATAATCTCTAAAAATTACATTTATTAAATATTTTAATTAAAAAAGACTAAATTACCCTCATTCTTAACACTATAAACTCTATCATTAGATGTCAGAACTAAAAAAAAAAATCCTATTTAGAGGAGTTGAGGAACCAAATTGATCGCTAAGAATAATTTGGGACTAATTTGATCCTTTTCACCCTTTGACTAAGTATACTATATATCATGATAGCCCACGACGATAAAATCCTAGGACATTGATCGAGCTTGTCATTATTCCCTTGTTACCTACTTTAAGTATACAGTAATAAATCTCATGTTAGCATTTCTAATTACCAAGCCTATTTTATTTCGGATTTTGAAAACAGGAAATTAGTGGAACATCTACAAATTATTTTGTTTTAAGTGAAAATAAAAAGAAAGTAAAATGAAAACAGACAAATGAATCCAAAATTGACCTAAAAAATATAAATCACCTCAAAATCAAAATGAGTGGTTTCATGACTACCAATGCCACTAGACCAGAACTGAGCGACTGCCAGTTCCATAGTTAAGCCACCTTTCACTGGTATCAGGAAACTTTTTTGAGAAGGAGATGAAAAGTTCACTACGCTTTCCCATTTGATAGGCCGCTTTAGAGGGCAGATCTGCATGGAAATACTTTAAAATTCCAAAAAAATGGTACACTACGTATTTCCTCAAGTGGGTGGTACCTGCACTGCATCTATAAAGAACCTTCGGGCGGTATCAAAACCTGCAGTGCGCACAGTTGCCTCAGCCCAAGTAGCTCCAATTGGCACAGCAACAAACCTCCTTTCAATATGGCCTGCACCAAAGGAAGTACTTATAATTCTCTCAAGTATGCGTAGTACACCTAAAATAATTGTATATGACATTTTTTTGGCGGTAAAACAAATGGTAAGACCATGTAATACAATAATATTACCTTGATAAGTTTGCAAACCCTCTAGCGTAACATGGCAGTAATCATACTTCTATAAGAAAAGATCTAAGAGGCCTAGATGCTTCAATAATATATCATCACCAGAAAAGAAATGAACAATTCATTCAAATGAAGGATTAGATCGTCAATATCCTATTTGAACACTCGAGGTGTTTTAATAATTTTTCATAAAACAAAAGAAAGGACAACCCTCCTATAAAAGTTTCAATCATAAGGCAACTACAACATGAAAAACAAGGCGTGATAATGAATGCATATGAGAAAAATGTAGATTTTACAGAGAAAATAACAAACGTAAGGAAGTGCCGACCATAAAGATGCTCCTACAGGTTATGAGTTAAATTTTCATAAATAAAAGCTGGAAGGGTGGTAATTATAGCATATTTCTTAGTCTTTCAATATGAATAGAATAACAATCGATAACAGTTAAAAGTCCAGCGCGTTCAGAGAGCTTCAAGAGCACATGAACAACCATCAATCAGTAGAAACAATTACAAACAGTTCGTATAAATCACTTCAAGTTTAAGGATGCGTTCTTGAAATAAATGGACTTTCTTCATAGATTGCTTTTGTATAGGAGGTAAGCCCTTTGAATTTCATTAATCCAGATAAATTGAATGCAAGCTATAAAATTATGGAAAAAAAATACATCTTTGATATTTAAAAAATACAAACAATTTAATTTGCAAGCTCTTAAACATTTGTAAGAGAGGTACCTGGGGAAAATGATAAATCAGAAATTGAAATGAGTGGCGGCTGGCCAAGTGGAGCAAGAGGTTTTGTAATTGTAATGGGAATTCTAAAAAGTGGACCACGCCATGGAGCTTTGCAGTCAATACCATAAACTTCATAAAAGTGCAAGCCATGATTAAGCTTGGTAGGATCCACAACTATGCTGAAGCAAATAAGAAAACGACATAATATCAATTAGCTCAAGTACTAACACTGCACAGATAATTCAACATTTTTTTACTTTGGTTTGGCTACATATTAGCAAGTGAAAGCATGTTACATGGATATTTAAAGATGATTCTTTATTAAAGGTTTTGTAGTACACATAGTATCAACTGCATTTCCCATTTAAGATCCAATTACACGATCAATTTAAAAGTTGTACACAAAATAATTCTAACGTGTTTAAATATTATGCAAGGTTTGCTAGCCTTGTAACTAAATATTATTTTCATAAAGACTATTTTGTAACCATTATCTATTTTATCAAAATGCTATCTTGGATTTTATTAAGATCTTTAAATGTTGAGGCATATTACACTCATTTTGTTAGAACTAATTCATCTATAATGAATGACCCAAAAGGGGAATCATTGCCTTCTTTAAAGCCTACCAAACATATACCAAAATAACTAATACATGATCAAATCTAATCAAATAGAAGAAACTAAATTCATGGCCATCCTGTTAGAGATGAGTTAGATGAGGATTTACATCTACCATTGGATTGTTTTGTTAAAAGCTGAAGTTTGAGAGGAAAAAACCATATTCCATTATACAATTTCTTCCCTATTAATAGATCTATACAGGATATCTTAATAAACAAACAAATATTTACATATTAATGCATAATAGCCCTAATACATTCCTTCCTAAATCAGCTACTTCATTTTGGAAAGGAATCAAAATGATCTTGCGTGATTTTTGCGAGCTTCCCACATATCACTCTTCGTGGTCATCGGATCTCCTTCGAGAGGGAACGGCTAGGATTTTAACACTCCACATCAAACTGGGAGGTATGGATCTGTTATTCCCAGCTTGGCTATCATTCTGAGAAAGATAGAGTTATCTAATCCTTTCGTAAGGATATCTGTGAGCTGATCTTTTGATGACACATGGTTGTGATACATATAAGACCACTGTCTAACTTTTCCTTTATAAAATGTCTGTCAACTTTTATGTGTTTGGTCCTGTCATGTTGGACTGGATTGTAAGCTATGCTGATTGTTGATTTACAGTCACAATGCAACTTTATAGGTTCGTCCCACTTGATCCTTAGATTTTCTAGAGTTATCTTGATTCATAGTACCCGACATATTCCCAGGGCCATAGCCTATATTCTTCTTCTGCACTAGATCTTGCCGACACATTTTGTTTCTTGCTTCTCCATGTAACTAGATTTCCTCCAAGAAATATGCAGTACCATGAAGTAGATCTTCTGTCTAATGGTGATCCTGCTTAGTCAGCATCGGTGTATACTTCTAGGGTTATTCCATGGTATCACCCTGAAGAGAATCCCTTTTCCAAGGTTACCATTAAAGTAGTGCAGTATTTTGTATATTGCTTGCATATGAGTCTGTTTGGGATTTTACATAAATTGACTGATCATTCTTATAGCAAATATTATATATTGTCTTGTGTGGGAAAGGTAGATCAGCTTTCCCACAAGTCTCTGGTAAGCCCCTTTATCTACATCTAGATCTTCTTTTGCTTCTCCCAATTTGAGATTCGGTTCTACTAGCATTGGTGCTTACATGCTAGTTTTCATGTTTCCTTTCAAAAATCTTTAATATACTTTTGTTGTGAGATGAAGATTCTTTTGTTGAAATGAGTTACTTCAATTCCAAGAAAATATTTTAGCCTACCATGTTCTTTGATATCAAATTCCTTAGTAAGATTTTTCATTAGACTTCTTTTCTCCTTTTTATCATTCACAGTCAAGATAATATCATCCACATAGACTAATAGTATTGTGACTTCTCCTGAGTCTGTATTTATGATGCAAGCAAAAATTTGGAAGAGGGCCCCAAATTTTTGCTAACAAAAGAAACTCTTCCTAGATAATAGAATATTACAAGATCTCACAAAAACTAAACGAATTAGACAAAAACAAACTTTTTATATCATAAAGACTCTTACAAGACGCTTACAAACGATAGTTAGAAAAGGACTTACAAACATAAGAAATAAAGACGTAAACAAGACGACACCCTAAAATTGCTTCACTTAGAGACGAAAGATACAGATGAAGTGGCACTTGCAGAGAGACAAAGAGATTAGAAGCCAAGAAGAAGGGTGGAAAGAGCCCGCAGGATTTCCGGAGGGGATGAGAAAGAAGAACGGACAAAGCTCGCAAGCTTTTCCAATAACCCGCAGGTTAGATTTCAAAAATCACATATCATTCACCACTTTTAAAAAGCCCAAAACATCTACTATATATAGGCATAAGAGGGGAACTAAACAGCCATTAAAAATTTAATTAAAAGCAGGAAATAGAAGGCCAAAAGCCACCTAAAAACTGCAGTAGAAACTCTTGGAATTCTTCCCAAAACAGCTACCAAACAGTCCCAAAAACTATCCAAATTTTGTCCAAAATACAGCCCAAAAATTGTCCAAAAACAGTCCCAAAAACTGTTCAAATTTTGTCCCAAAATCTCTTCATATTCCCATATAAATGAAGTAATTGAAAGGCCATCAGTCACTATACTGAAATCCCAAACATCTCAGCAAAGGCAAGACAAAAGGCCACGGTTCCAAGGAGCAGATTCAGGGAACCAGCAGGAATCGGAAAAGAGGGGACCGCAGGAATTAATTCCTGAAGCCAATCGGTGGGAATTAATGCAAAGGTAGCCCAAGAGATAAACTGCAGCAATTCCACCAAGTGAAGAATATGAAAGAACAAGTTCCACTCACCATGTCTAGCTCCCAAACATTAATTTCATGACTAAACATTAGCTCATAATAAGCTAATCATTCACTAGACATTAATGAGCTAGGGAAGTCAAAAATCAAATATTATGATTTGATTTGACACCCCCCCTTGCCTACATCAATTTAAAGAAGAGTGTATGGTCCCCTTGATTCTGTCGATACCCATCAAGAAGCAGGAATTTTGAGAATCTTCCAAACCAAGCCCTAGGTGATTGTTTTAACCCATATAGGGCCAACCTGTATACTTTGTCACTTCCAGATTTTTTCTTAAATCCTGGTGGTATCTCTATAAATATCTCTTCCTACAAGTCCCCATGTAGCAATGCACTCTTTACATCTAGTTGTTCAAGGTGCGAGTTGTATTTAGCTGCTAGTGAAGGTATAATCCTAACAGTATTCATCTTGGCTACAGGTGCAAAGGTTTTCTGGTAGTCAATGTCATATGTTGGAGTATACCCTTTTGCCACTAGTCTAGCCTTGTATCTTTCAGTGTACCATCAGTTTTCTATTTTATCGAGAACACCCATTTGCAACCGACTATTTTTTTTTTTCCTATAAGTAGGTTGTAGATTTCCCATGTGTTATTCTTTTTAGGGCATGTTTCTTCTTTCATGGCATTTTTCCAATTCTCATTAGATATAGCCTCAGAAATAACATTAAGAATATAAATATCATCTAGCGTAACCAGGAAGTTTTTAAGCGGGGATGAAAAATTATTGAAGGTTATGGAGTTGGTTATAGGGTACAAGAGAGGTGGTGAATTTACCTTATTTTCAGAAGATGGTTCAGATTCTTAGATCTACTTTGGAGGACAGTTTGAACTTGTACGCTTGGAATAGACATTCCCAAATCTAAGGACAGTTTTGTCTTCAGCTTTCCTATTCTGAATTTTAGGTGGATTAGTTTGATGTAGTGGGGAAAGGTCAAGAGGGGCAAGCATGCTTTCATCATATTCCTTTGTTTCCGTCTCCCCCTGAAAATGAGTTTTTGTAAAATAGGAATTATGTTCATCAAAAGTAAAATCAATGGATACAAATGCTTTCTTTGTAGGGAGGTGATAGCACTTGTAACCATTTTAGGTGGCAAAGTATCCGATAAAGATACATTTGAGTGCCCTTGGATCTAGTTTTTCTATATTCTGGCTGTGGATGTGAACATAGGCAGTGCACCCAAAGATTCTAGGTGTAAGGTTATTATGAGTTCGAATATGGGGGTAAAAGGAGGACAAAATATCCATTGGAGCTTTTAGACCCAAGGTTTTTAAAGGTAGTTGGTTTATGAGGTAAGTGGCAGTTAGGAAGGCTTCTCCCCAGTAGGATTTTGATATATTGTGGTGGAGTAGGAATGCGTGAGTGAAGGTTAGGATGTGACCATTCTTTTTTTTTTTTTTTGCAACCCCATCTTGTTGTGGGGTATGAATGCAGGAGGATTCGTGGATGATACATTCACTTTGAAAATAAGAGTATAGGGTTTGGTTGAAGTAGTCTTTAGAATTGTCTAAACAAAATTTCTTTATTTTTAACCTGAATTGATTCTGGATCATGGTGTGAAAAATGAGAAGAATGGTGCTAACGTCAGATTTATTTTTGAGGAGATAGATCCAAGATCCCTGAGTACAATCATCAATGAAAGATAAAAAACAACGAGCCCCAGAGATGCTGGGGATTTTTTAGGGTCCCCATATGTCACTATGAATGAGATATAAGGGAGTATTGCATCTATCTTTTTTTTTCGAAAAGAGGTTCTTTTATGTTTGACTAATTCACAAGTTTCACAATTAAAATGTTCATTTTCCAACTTATGAAAAAGTTTACGATACATATATTTTAGGACCTCTAAAATCTGAAGTGATTAAGCCAAATAGTAGATTTCTTGTCAACAAGGGACAACAGAGAGTAACTATTTTTATATTTTTTCAGCTCTTCCAGGTAGTACAATCCAGCTTTCTCCTTAACAAATTCAATCTACTTCCCCGATCCCCGGCCCTGAAATAAGCAATAGGTAGGGTTAAACAGTACTTGACAATTATGGTCACTAATAAGTTTTTGTATGGATATAAGATTTGTTGATAATTGAAGTACATGGAACACATTTTTTAAAGTGAAGGGGATAAAGGTATGTCTCATTGGCCTTTTATTGTGGAAAGAGAACCATCAGCCGTGATGATTTTCTAGTAACTTGAGCAAAGATTATAATTGACGATGTGGGTGGTGGAGTTTGTCATGTGATTTG